AGACTGGACGGGTGGACTGGACGGATGACAGTGCCTTGGGAGGGGGAGGACCCAGCCCCACTGCCCCAGGGGCTGCTGTCTATCTGTTTATGGGAAAAGGGGTCAGTGCAGTCACTTCCTCAGCAGATCCTCAGGAGAGCCAAGCATTCCCCCGGGGACAATAAGGCTTGCAGGTGTAGGGATCCAGGACAACCCACCAGCCCGGCCACCTGCTAACCCAAAGAACCATGGATTCCAGGTTGATCACCACAGAACTGCCCAGGCTCCTGTCTGACCATGTACACAGACCACATAAAGCCCCTCTTTTAAAGTGATGCCTGCTTCTTGTCTTTTCTTTCTCTCCGGATGGGCACAGTGGAGCCATGATCAAACACTTAAGGAAAATCTGTGGAGCCAAACCCCTCTTCCAAGGTCTCACCCCTCAAGGATAAAGGCTCGGAAGGAGAAAGTAGGGCAGTGGAAGGTGGCAAGGTAGCTGGCACCTTGCTAGACTTTGAGATGGGAATCCTTGTGATGGTACCCTGTCAGCTGCCGGCCAGGGTGGAGAAGAGACGCTCTGTGACCCTCCACATCCAACATGACAAGCAGCAGCTACAGCTCTTCACAGGCTACCAATAGCTGTCAAACCTAAGTGAACTTACGTACCAGGTCACATCTTTGGGGCAAGAGGGAATGTGACCCAGTTCTGACAGAGTTCAGGTATCAAGTTCGGCCTAACCTTTGACATGACTAAATATGCTCAGAAATGCACACCCTGCTTGGTCTGTTTTAGCAAAGAAAAGCTGATAGACTCAATGTTTGTGTCCCCACTGCAAAAAAAAAAAAAAAAACCCAAAAACAAACAAAACAAAACATTCCTGTGTTGAAAACCTAATGCTCAACGACAGTACGAGATGGGATGTTTTGGGAGGGATCAGGTCATGGGGGCAGAACCCTGACGAATAGGATTTGTGCCCTTATGAAAAAAGCCTGACAAGTTCCCTGGCCCCTTCTGCCATGTGAGGTTACACTAGAAGGTGCCATCAGGAAGCAGGATCGGGCCCTCACCAGGGACCAAATCTGCCAGTGCTTTGATCTTGTACTTCCCAGACTCCAGAACTGTTGAGAAATAAATGTTTCATATCAGCGGGAGCTGGCTGAGACAAAAGCCAAACCAGAAATTAGCCTAAACGCAGCCTCTGTGCCCCCACAGAATAACTGCACCGGAGGGAGACAGGATGGCTCTAACAGCCAAGAGCTCCATTTAGTTTCCATAGAGAGATTTTCCACAGCGGCCGGGGCCAGTGGCCTCCCACCCCAAGGGTCCACAGCTCCAAGGGTAGAAAGGAGTAGCTCCAGCTCCCCAAACCTCAGGTGGTTGCCCCACAACACACACGCAAAAGCAAGCAGCTTTCAGGAACTGGTATTTATTATCAAAGTCATATTCGATGTCAACAAGATGCCACAACTACAAAAAAAATTGCGCACATTGCAATCCCAATGCAAACAGTCAAATGGATCCCCAGTCATTAAAAAAGTAATTCAAATTACCCCAAAAAGCAACTGAATTTTTTAAACATCTTTATACATCCAGCCAACAAATTAAAATGGTTAACAAGAAAAAATACAAATTCAGAGGTCTGGTATCGATGTTTAAAAAAGGCAACTGCTTAAGCATTTCTATCGATTCGAACATCAATCTCTCGGCCACTCAGCTTCATCCCATTCATCATCCGGCAGGCTCTCTCAGCCACCTCTGGCGACTCAAACTTAACCACACCGCACCCCTTGGACTTCCCATTCTCCATCTTGATGTCAGCATACAGCACGTGGCCTGGGCACAGGGAGGGAAGAAGAGACCACAACTCATCAGGCAAACCCAGAGCTCAGCCTCAGTCTGGGCTCCACTCAGTCCAGATCACCTGTTGGATTTCGGTTGATAGAGTCAAAAGGGAGAGTGGCCCTCGCGTCTGGCGCATGAATGTTCAGAACACAGCGGCCAGAACCCAGCTACTATGGCCCTCAGCTATGCTGCCATTCTTCTGCCAAAAGGACAACAATCTGAGCCACGAAGAGCAGTCCTGGTAGCTGCAAATGCACGCCTTTACTCGAGAAAGTTATAAAGAAGCCCTGGGAAGCCAACTTCATAGGCAAATTTTAGAGAGGCTTCACTTTTAATACACTGTTCCGTTTTTACTAGGCCACTGCCAATACAGTGGACACTTCTGTACTGTCCAAATATAAGCCGTGTAATAATTAGCAGGCAGATTACACACATTCATTCAAGCTCCGGTTAAGGATCCAGGTATGTGTCAAGCACTGTGGAAACAATCTGCAAGGGAAGAGCCACAGAAACACAGAGCCAAGAACACACAGTGTAGCTAGTGCTGGCACCCTCAATTCCAGGGTCATCAACTCTGCCTGAGGGAAGGTCAACATCCCAGAAGGCTTCTCCCAGGAAAGTTCTAAAACAGCTTAAGGGAAGTCCAGCAGGAAGAAGACCCCTGCTGGTAACAGCTCACAACAGAGCACTTGTGGGCAACAGCACTGGCAAACTCGGGATTCAAGGACAGGAGGGAGAAGAAATGGGATGAGACTAAAGCTGTACAGAGGCTGGTGAGTTTCGGCTCCTTCTTGTCAGCAGAGGGGCACCTCCGGGCATCGGAGGCAGGGGCAGTGGCATGATCCAATTTGACTTTTCAGAATATCTACTACAATGTGGAAATGAAGGAGTAGGGAAAGTGGGCAATAAGGCAGGCTATGGCTCAATGGCTGACCCGAGAGAAGAACCAGGAGAAGCAGCAGTGGTGAAATCTGAGACACTTTAAAGCAAAAGGAAATGAGAAAACACTGAGGACGCCTTGATCCAGCAAGCCACCCAGACCCCTGGCTTAGGGCTGGGGCTCCCCTTGATGGTTAAAAGGACAGAAGTGGCAGGGGTGAGGGGCAGGGCCTCAGCTGGAGACAATTTCACTTCCTTTTGGCCACAAAGTAAGCCTTCCAGAATGGCTGCCCAGTGTGCTAGGAAACCACAGAGACCCAGAGACCCTACCCTCATCCACACTGAAGCTGTGGGTTTGCCCAGAGCCTATGAAATCTCACCTGTGGGCCTGCTGGGTGAGTGCTCTTTGAGGCACAGACCAGTGGTGCTACTGTGGACAGTGACCCTGACTGAAATACATTTATTTGGCTCTGTCACCCAGAAGCCATGTGATCTTGGGAATGTGACTTTGCCTGATTCTAAAATGGGGACAACACTAGCTCCTTTCATAAACCAGAAAAGGAGAAAGAAAGAGGGAGGGAGGGAAGGAAGGAAGGGAAGGGAAGGAAGGATGAGAGAAAAAATGAGAACACAGCTGACAAGTGTATGACACATAACGGGAAACTCAACGACCTGCTTGAGTATTTGCACAGGCAGAAAAATGGCAAGTCCCACCAGTCCTCCAGTCATGGAAAGTGTCTATGAAGACAAGGATGGAAGCTTGGCTGCATGACTCAAATGCATCACCAACAAGCTAAGATTTCTGAAGCCACAACACAAGGAAGCACCTAGAAAGCCTTTCTCAAACACTTACCACATTCGTTGAATTTGTCTTTTAGCATCTTCCATGTAAAATCAAATGGGAGCTGAGGGTAAAAAAAAAAAAAAGGAGAGACTGGTGAGTGGTTCAACCAAATACTAATGCATAAACATTCCAATTGTCTCTGACTGTGGCTTCAAGATTTCTTATTACAGAGAAACTGGCTGATCTTCAAACTAAGAAGGTCAGCAAGATACAAAACAAGTTTGTCTGGATGAGGCTCTAAACTGGCACAGCAAGTTCCCTCCCTCCCTGGTGGCTCTGTCTATGGGAGAATCGCCCAGACAGCAGAACGCAGTTGCCTGTGGTGAGCAGCCCACAGAACCACTGAATAGTAGGTAAACTAAAGGTGGTCAATCTGGTGAAGGTAAGTCAGATACAGCCATTCTTCCCCTATTGAAATGTCAAGCCAAAGGGATTAAGAAATCAAGTTACTGATCAAGTCCTTCAGACCACTGTCTGTTTCATCTAGTAGTCAGAGAAGCCCAGGATTTCGCAAAACACACTTTTTGCTGCTTGACTGTTACTAAGCCCTCACATTCCCTCCTAATCCTAACACCAAACTTTGGGGCCAGTGGCAAGGTGGCCTTGCATCCTACTCAGCTCTCCTTCTGAGGGCATCACCTCTGACTCTGACCTGCCACCTTTCAGTCCTGTTGACTTTAGGTCTCCCTCCTTCCTCTGAGTGTTAACAGCACCGAGAAGTTCCTGAAGAGCCACTTACATTTCTCACAAATATCTGGCAGGCCTTTCTGGCCACCCCAGGAGCATGGCCTCCGGCTCCACCAAAGGAACCTGCGAAGCTTCCTCCGAAGTTGCCACGCTCCATCTCGATGGCGCGGTCAAAGCTGGCACCGCCACCGCCACCCATGGCCAGGCCCATGCGCTCAATGCCAGCGCCCAGGGCAGGGCCCATGGCGGGACCCATGCGCTCCAGGCTGTTGGCGCCCATGCGCTCCAGGCCCATGCGCTCCAGGCTGTTGGCGCCCATTCGCTCCAGGCCCATGCGCTCCAGGTTGTTGGCGCCCATGCGCTCCAGGCCGGTGGCCATGCGATCCATCACGGGGCCCATGCGCTCCAGGCCTGCCCCCATGCCTGCGGGCACCATGCGCTCCATGCTCAGGCCCATGCGCTCGATGGCAGGGCCCATACGCTCCACACCAGAGCCCATGCGCTCAATGGTCTGGCCCACGCGGTCAATGGGTGCGGCCATACGCTCGAGGCCAAAGCCCATGCCGGCACCCATGCGCTCCACACCGGAGCCGATGCGCTCCATGGTCTGGCCCATGCGCTCGATGCTGGAGGCCATGTGGTCAAGGCCCAGTGGGCCCATGCGCTCGATGCCAGAGCCCATGCGCTCGACTGAGCCCATGCGGTCCATGACCAGGCCCATGCGCTCAATCTCGGAGCCCACACGATCCATTCCGTGGCCCAGGCCTGCGCCCATGCGCTCCATGCCGGCACCCCCAATGCGGTCAATGCCAGGGCCCATCCTCTCGATTCCAGGGACACTGCCCCCGCCTCCACCTAAAACAGACACAAAACAGGCCGATGTCAGGGACTTGAGGATCTGTGTGCACACCATGCCAGGAGGGTGACCTGGGTGCAGCGGCCTGAGCACTTCACACGCTCAACCACAGTTGATTACCACAATAATTTATCATTAGACATGCCTCAAATGTTGACAACTGTTAAAGAATGAGTACATCATTCTTCCTACTTCTGTGCCACAGTTAAAATTTCCAAAACAAAACATAAAAAGGAAAAAAACCCACCCTGGAGGAAGTTTGTCAATAACATTCTCCATGTTACTTTGGAAGTGCTCATACTTATGACAAGCTTTGTGAGCCAGGGGCATCAATTCCTGAAAACTCTGCTTCCCGACCACCAGACATCGATAAAGGCTCAGAAACCCCACACTGAAGCGGTCACCTGATGTAATGGATTATATGGTGACAATTAAGATTGCTCACAACCTCTAGCCTCTCTCAATCTGTCTCTCTACGATGCCTTACTGGTAACCTTCTGGCTGCATTTCCTTAGCACCTCCACAGCATAGAGAAGTTAGTACATAGCCATGGAATCAGGAAGAGATACAGAAACAAACACCAACACCAATATCTTGGGTATAAATGAGCAGACAGCCACTTTCAAGGAAGCTTACTCCGTCAGGGAAACTGCCCACCGCCTTTGCTATGTATTACTTTGCTGGCTTTGGAGGAAAAAAAGTCAATGGCACTGCAGAGTGGATTCTGAAAGAGGCCTGAGATCAGTTTCTTACTGCCATGGTTCAGCGGGACACATGTTGGCAGGTCAGCAGTGCACAGTGATCCTGTGATGCTTGCAATTTTGAAGGAGGGTCTGGCTCCAGCCCCAAGGCCACCACCCACCAGGTTTTTCCACATGCAGAGCAGCTCAAGGGTCCCTCTCACGGTTCAATTCACCACCACCTGCCTCTGAAAAAATGGGCAGTTGAGCCCTCAGCCAGCCCATTATTGAATCAAGCAGCCCAGGCCAAGATGCAAATTTAAGAAGAGGAAATCCAGCAGTTTCTTTAACTGATTTAACTAACTAGGTAAGATCTTAGACAAGTCACGCCACTTCTCTGTGCCTGCTTTTTAGCTGAGTAACAGCACACCAAATGGCGAAGTATGAACACAATTTTAAGAATATTAAACTTTCAGAGCAGAAATTTCTCAGAAACTATAAAAAAGGTAAGAGACCTAGAGAGGGTAGGTAGCATACCCAAGAGCATCAAAAATGAGGGTGATGGATATCCTAGGTGCCAAAAGCAGCAGAGAACTAGAAAGAAACGGTACCCCTGTGGAGTTCTAGAATCAGCCCACCATAAAAACAACTCCAGCCAGTGAAGTTACCAAGGAAATGCCATGATGCTCAGAGACACGAGGGGAAAAAAAAATCGAACTAAAAGAAGTACATTTAAACTACCCATTTACCAAAAAAAAAAAAAAAAAAAAGTAGTATTAATGGAAGACTATATTCCAAAATATTTACAGCAGTCATCACTGGGCAATGAGATTTCAGGTTATTTATTTTCTTTGTAATTTTCTGAATTATTGTGAAAACACGTTTATATTCTAGTAAACATTTGTCATGATTAAATGTGTACTTTTATAATCAGGTAAAATATTCACTTTTAGGAATTTACAATTTTATAGTATTAGAAAGAAGTCCCAAAATTACATGGACATTATAATTACAATGGCTAATGCGTACATAGTACATACGTAGGTCCTCTTTTATGTTATTAACTCATTTACTCTGCACAACAACCCTGTGAGGTAGGTACTATTATATCCCCATTTTACAGTGTGAAAAACAGAGGGGTTCAGTAACTTGCCAAATGCCACACAGCTAGAAGAGGCAGAGCTGGGTCCCCACCCCAGGCAGTCTATTTTAGAGCCCATGCTTTTCACCACTACACTCTACTATCCCCAGCAATACAAGCCTATTCTAAAGATCAAAACATCAAAACTAAGCGTTTCCTACCTCCTCCCTGCTTTGCAATGATCTCTCCTCTCTTCAGTGCATTACTTAGGATTTCTAAGGAAATCAGGAAGAAAAAAAAATTAGCCAAATTCCTCTATGGTAACAGAAATTTTTATTACAGATTCCAGAGCAGGAGTACTACTAATTAAAAAATAAAAGAGGAAAGGGGAAGGGGTTGAGAAATATACACACAGACAAGTCATTTCACTGGAAAACTGCAAGAGTCCTTGATGATGGGGTCATGACTACGGTCTCGTGTCGCTCCAGAGTCTGAGGCCCAGTTGGTAGGGCCTCTGGAAATGCACCCATGAGCTGAACTTGGAAAGTCAAAGCAAGAATGGGGCCAGTAGCAGTTTCCTAAAGCTGATACAGACCCCCAGTACTCACATGAAGCATGCACTCACCCATCCAGATCCAATCAACACCTCATGGTTATCCGTCGGCAACCTACTTCTGTAGCTACACTTAGAGCCCAAATCCTAAAACCCAGCAACTGCATGTAGTGTTGGAAATGTGACCTAATCCACAAGCTGTGCGAGGGAAGACCACAGCAAGCTGAGCCCACCCACCCGCCAGCCCTGCCTGGAAGGAGCAAGTATGATGGTGACCAAGTTCTAAGCCTCAGGAAAACAAAACCCTAACGCTCTCAGCTATCCAGAACGGTAACACTGCTGCTCGCTTGGCTTTTCATACAAACCTCTTTGAAGTTTGTCTAATGCTATCATTAGCATTAGCTTTTAAAGGTTTCTTCTGGGTCTTTAATTACGTAGAAGAAACTTGTACCCACACCCTCTCTGGTCCTGAAATGTGCTCAGCAATGTGGACACCAGCCAGAGTACATCTGATATTATGACCATGACCACAGAGATTAAACCGTACCCCGAGGCTGTTTCTACTAGTACTACACCTACCTGCTAAATAAAGGATGGATGTGGGACAGTACACCAAGAAACAGACGCCAGCCTGCAACCAAGTACAGGGCTTATTCTTCCGTAACACCTGGGATCTAACTCAGCACACTCAAGCTTAGGTTCTCGTTCTGAAAACAACACTTGGCTCAAACCATCCCCTAAAAAAGCCTTCGCAATCAACCTACGACTGATTTGAATAGGAAGTCAAATTTTTTTCATGAGCGTTCACAGACCTGCTCTGACTCAGAATTTTAACCTGTTTTTTTAACCTGTTTTCCTGGTACACCCTCCTCTCCAAGCCTCTGCACCTGACACTGTCAGCCCTGTGTGCCAGCACACTCTCTGCCTATGCTGAAGCCCACCCAGCCCCTCCAGCTTACACTGCATCTCCTGCATGATCTTCTTGCATCCCTGCCTAGATCCAGGGCTGAGCAGAACATTTCTATCAGCCATCTAGAGCAGTGTTTTTCAAATCTTAACACAGAAAATGATCGATCACCTTTGTGTAGTTCTCATATAGCTGCCAAGGGCCCAGGAATCAACATCTCTACTGGCTCCCTCAACTAGGCCACTTCTCTGTGCTGAACTCTGGGGCTGCCCTGAGCCACTCTCAGCATCGTCTCCTCAGCTGCACCACGTCCTTCAAGGTCAAGAACCACATACCCACCTACATCCCTGCAGCACCAAGTATAGTTGTTTGCACAAAGAAGTGTCTTGATAGGAAAGAACGGGCATTGAACAGGGAGGCAGCAGAGGAAGCACCAAAATGATTCAACTGTCAAGTTAACAACACAAAAAATAGAATCAAGAACTGAATCTGAAAAACCAATCTAGGCAACTACTCTGAAAACCTGACTTCAAGATTTTATTTGGTACAAAGACCTTTTTACTAACATGGGTCTGATCACAAGTAGCAGCAGAACAAAAGCCCTTTGCTCTTGCCCACGGTCACTCTGGGAAGTCTCAGGACAGACAGGCAGTACAGTCTCAATCAGAGAGAAGGTGCCAAAGCAGTAGGAGACAGCAAGGCCTGCAGATGCTGTTCCTACGTTCAGGGCAGGATAAGATGGGTTTCCTGTTACCACAGGAAGTAACCTCACCGGTCCACCTCTTGTGCCACCACAGGAACTGGGACAAGGCTGACAATCTCCTCACAGGGGTTAGAGGCATCCCAGGGCAAAGTATTCAAGGCTCAAAAGCACAACAAAGTGCCTATGGGAGCAAAGCCACACGCCATTTTGTTCTTCTCACCACAGGTATCCAAAATTATAATGTATTTGCAGCCAATGACCAAAAAAAAAAAAAAAAAAAACTATTTTTTTTTTTTAAATACCCTACCATTCCAAGACACAAAGCAAAGCCAGTCATGGCAACAAGAAACTTATCTGGCCTAGTCACAAAAGGATTATGCACTTATCTCCAAATTCTAAAGTTCTGGAACAATCTGGAGTAAAGCTACAGTCATATCAAGTGAGCAAAGAAAAAGTAAATCTTCACAACCAACCTAGTTTAGATGCAAGAAAAATCACTCAACTTTCCTAACCATGATCAGGGGGGAAAAAAATGAAATCAGTCCACCAAACAACAGAGTCTACTCAGAGAAAGTTTCTGATTAATTCCAGATTTTCATGAAGGAAACAACATAGGACTCCTGGAGACAGTTTGGAGATTTAAGAACCCTGTCTCACTGATAAGCTTAATGACAAATTTTTCTTAATGACAAATTTTTCTACGGCCTTCATAAACTCTAAGAATACAGCATAGCTCATAGAAGACAGACATAAAAAGCTTAAAATCCTCACACCTGGCCCAAGGGGTTCTATCAAGACAGGGGCTGAGCACTCTTTGAGACTACCATCTCCTAGCCCTGGATCTGCACAGGACGAGAAGCGGCTGAAGGGGAGCAGAATTACCCATGCTCTAAATCTCCTAAAAGAAACAAGCTTCAGAGCCCAGGAATAGACAATCTCCTTGCTCCACACTAATGGAAAATTAGCTGACAGATTCTCAGAAACAGCTGAACTTAAAATAGGGGAAGACATCCATGGAAAAGTAGAGAAACTGCTTTGCAAACTAACCAAAACTGAAGAACTTCTGTACATCAGACAGGCCCAATCCTCCAGGTCTTTCAGCATTAGAAAGCTCCCCTAGTTCACTGAGGTCTCCTTCACACGCATCAATGAGCAAACCACACCGCCCCTGTTACCTGGACCACCACAGGGCCCTGGACTAAGGAGACTCGCACGCCCACTTAGCAGGGCTTGAAAATCTCTACGACTAGAGAGCCACATCACCTAAGTGCTGCAGTTTTAACTCCCACAGCAAGCAAACACCTTATACCAATGTGAAAGAAGCAGCCACCTGAAAAATCTGAAAGAAAAATGGTGCTACTGATATCAATAAAAAAACTCAAGGACCAAAGGTTCTTATCTAGGTCTAGAAAACACACAAGTTTTTAAAAGCTTAAGGAAAAACAGCTGACTTAGCCTAAGAAGAACCTCCTGACATCAGAGTGAGCCTGCACCCCCGGGGGCGGACCCCACCAACGTGGGGCCCGTGGGGCCTTCTTACCCATTCCTCTGCCAAGGGGCTCTCCAAAGCTTCGAGACATTCCCATCTCTTTTCTGGCAAAGTCTCTCTCAAAGCCTCCACCCATGCCACGCTCCATCTCTGTGGAAAAAAGTATTACCCAAGGCCTTTCCAGGAATACCATTGTTTCAGACATTAAAAAAACAAAACAAAAAACTGTTACAGACATACTACAGCCACCAGCAAGTCAGCATGGTTGGTTTCTCTATAGAAAACCATCATTCACCCTTTATTCCTTAAAAAAGAAAGTCATCTCAAATAAATCCCTGAAACCTACCTTTAGTCCATTAAGAAGGACTCATTTACACCTTACACCACAGTCACACAACGGGTTCACCAAGCACCCACTACCGCAGTCCCTGGTGTGGGAGCTGCAGTGCATGCAGAGGCAAAGGCCGGCTGCAGGAGAGCCTGCTCATGTCACACCTACCGCCTAGGAGGCACTTCCCACATACCCTGCCCTGCTCGGGACCTTACATGTGCTATCATTTCATGGAATCCTCACAAGCAGCCTGCACAGCTAGATTACCCTCCACCACTACTGCCCCTTTACAAAGAAACTGAGGTTCAAATGACTTAGGAACTTGACCAAGGTCACATGCCGGGTAAGGCATGATGCAAAGGCTGGAACCTAAATACAACGCAAAAGCCCATGTGTTAATACACAAGCACAGCCATCAGAATACAGAAAGACGCTTGCATACGAACATGATTTCTCCACTGACAACTGGAGTGGTTTCATCTACATAATGGGGTTCAGCAACCTATTTTTTCTATGCTGACTGCAGGAGTATGTTATTTTTCACAATGTCTTTTAAAAACAAAGGTCTTAACTTCTGTGGGGGAAAAGCCCTGCCCCCGCTGAGAAACCCTTTTATGACTTATCACTGGCTACTTGTTTCCTCGTATATTCATTCATGTAAGCAAGACCTAAAACGTGCTGCACACACTGTCTCCCTCCCATACTGAGCTCCTTGGAAAATCTAGTTTATTAATCTTGTTCCTTAGAAATATCAGGTATGCAGGTGCTATATAATGGACACCTGCTATTGCACCAACTACAAAAAATGCAGCTTGAGTCCCTACATTCTCAATGAACTAAAAACAAGTCTATTAGAAACATGGAAGCAGGCTTGCATTATGAATTAACAAGAGAACACCAGGTTTTGGTGATGGTGGACTTTATAGTCATAGTTTGAATCAACCCAACTGGATCTCATAGGCTATCTGCTGGAAATGTATCTAATTAGCATGAGCCTGTGTACGGCAGGCAGAACAGAAATCCCAGAGTGGCACCATAATGAATGGAGGCTCTACTGAGCTCCTTTAATCCTTATCATAAGCCCGTGAAGACGGCACCCTCCCCATAAGGAAGTCATATGCAGGCATTAATGTGTTGGCAAAGGCCTCAGAATTTATCTTCCCAACTGTCAGCAGATCCAAGCGTAGAGGGAACCCTGTGTGGACTCCAATGTACTCCCCCCAACACAAAAAAGGAAGAGAATTTTCATTGTCAAATACTGCATCAAACCAGTCATCATTTGATATCTGATGATCTTTCAATTGAAAATTTTTTGTATCCATTCTATCAAGATTTGATCTCTACTGGCCTGAGAATTTGGTTTCTATTCAGGCTAATGTCATTGGCACCTGTGACCATGTGACACACAGTGATCACTGACTAAACATTAAGTTAAGTCTGAAACATCTTCATCAATTTTTTTTCCCAGTGATTGAAACTTTCCTTGAACCCAGGGCATCCAAGGCTCTAGAGCTGATTCCACTCAAACCTCAGAACACAGCTCCAGTGTAAGAAAGTCCCTGTTCTCTGCTATAGAGGATAGACAAGGATACTGAGTGTCTGTATTTGAAAACATCTTTAAGAATACAGCGTAAGAACATATCCTCCACTGTGGCTCTCCACGAGCATCAGCACTTTGAACCTTTAACCACCAGGCTCAGAAGCGTACCAGGTGCATCCCGTTCACGAGATTATCGGAGACTATGTCCACGTGGCTCAGCACAACCCCTGCCCTGGCTTCCATCTGCTTCTAAATCACACCACCTGAACTCCTGGAACTCCTCAGAGCAACAACCCAAACCTCCTTTCCAATGACTCACCTCTCTTGAGCAAACATTTTATCAAACCAGACTTCTTCAACTCACACTTTTCATTTAAAACCCCATGCACAAGTGAGCCACAGGCAAGCCTGAGAACACACTGGAAACAGACTTTTGCCCCTTCACTCCTTACTACCAGTGAGAACTTTCCTTTATCTTATCATCTAGAACAAGGAGTTTTTTCATCAGGAATAGCTACTTTCCATTTTGATAGTTAATATCTATCTTAGTAAGGTTCTCGCTTGCCCTATACCACCTTCACATTACACACTACTATAGACCAGCAAACAGTTAAACCTAAACCTTAAAAATGCCCCATTCCAGAAAAGCTTATGTGTATAAATGAAGTAGCATTCCCACAGGTGGGGGTCAGAGAGTCCACCACCAACACCCAGAGGATTTCAGAAATACAAGTTTCTCATGGCACTCTACAGCCCTGCCGATAAGGGGGGCTGACACCCATGCTGTAGACAATTCTAAAAGGCAGGATCAGGGGGAGAGTATAGCTCAGTGGTAGGGTGTGCACCTAGCATATATGAGGTCCTGGGTTCAATCCTCAGCATTTCCGCTAAAAATAAATATATAAAGGGGGAAAAAAAGAAAAAAGAGGCAGGATCTCAGCATGATTAAGAGCCAAGCTCTGGAGCCAGAAAGCCTGGGTCCATATCCCACCACTACGAGCCACGTGACCTTAGGCAAGTCACTCCGGGCCTCAGTTTTCAATGATATGGGGATAACAGCACCTACATGTCACGTGGTTCTTGCAAGGACTAAATGAAATAATACATTATAATTGATACTACTATATTTCTGTTAAGAGGTTGGAGGGCTGTAAGATTTAAATTAACAGTACACCAAATTCTGCATTGTATAAATGCTAAATTAAATGAATGCCTCTGCCCACAACGTGGAGACATCCGAGCAGATGATCAAGAACTCACCCCATGCTGGGCATTGGTGGTTCAGTGGTAGAATTCTTGCCTGCCAAGAACTCACCCAGTCCAGCACTCCAGGGGAGATTAGTGCTGGAGGCAATAGGAAAGTTTTAAAATTTTACTGGACAATTATTGGGGAGATTCAAAACACAAGAAACCTCAGGAGTTCAGTAACTAAGAGAAGTTAACACTTTCCTACTATCAAATCTAGCTTCTAAAACACAAACTTTCTAAGGTAATTCAGAGACATCGAATTCAGTAAAAAGTGGAAGGGAGAAATCATTTATTAAAAATGGATCTGTTTCCTAAAGGTCACCTGAGAGCCAACAGCCAGCAAAGGGTAGGTATAAGCAGGAAGGAAACATGAATCTTACCATTTATTCTGCCCATGTTCATCCCAGATCCAAATCGACCCATGTTTTCCATACCACCACCAAAGGGTCCCTCCATGCCTGAAAGAGACATTCACGTTTAGCACCAGTCTAACCAGACAGACTGAACAGGAAAAGAAAAAACGTTTTTACAAGTTTCACTGAGGGCATTTTCTGCCAGGAAATTTACCAGTCTTAAGGGCTTTGGGGGAAAATATGCTAGTGCCTTTGTATAAAAATCACTATCTTTAAACAGCTGATCTAATCCAACCCCCTCAATGAAGAAACAAGCAGAGAGAGGCCCAGAGAGATGGAATGATTTGCCCAAGGTCACAGAGCTAGTTAGTGAGAAAGCCAGAACCAAAAGCCAACATCCACTGGAAGGATCAATGGGTAAAAATAATTTCTAGACTCAAACTTTTTGGAAACCAAAGTGAAAATTTCATGCAGGGCTTAAGAGAAAAGAAAGAGGAAAAAAGAGAGAAAACCATACCTAAAGTAATTACATTTGTACTTCATTTTAAATTTCTTACCTCCCATTTTATTTATTCCAAATCCTATGCCTTCCATTCCCATTCCTTAAAAAGAAAAAGTCAATGCAAACTAAAATTATGTCAAAGCAGTAACGTTTGAACTTCAAAAGCACATGAAATTCCAAACCAGCAAATAAACAAAAATATCCCTGATTACAAATGTATTTCAATTGTCACAGAAAAAAAGGATGAGGGCTCTTCCATTTCAACCATCAAACCATTACATTCCAAGAAAACTATTTAAGCCTTCAACAAAATAACCACGTGACTCAAAATTTTATAGCATCCCGTTTCATTAAATGACCAAGTTGGACAGTTTTAAACATAAAATATAATTATCAGGTACAGACTAGGAAACATGCAACTTTTAGAAGCTTATTTTAGGGAACATAAGTGGATTTTAAAATCCCTTTTGAAGGTAGAAATCTCCAAATAAAAAGCAGTTCCTAAAAACCCCATGTCTTCCCTCCCCTCCCCTCAACCCCAGTCTTCCCTCTGAGGTGTCAAGTCAGAGGGTGTGGTGGTCAGAGTGGTAGAGCCATCTGAGGTGATGGGCCACGTTCTGGTCAGCCCCAGAGTTTAAACTGGGAGGGAGACAAGGGATATGCAGAAGTGACAGTAGTAGGGTAGAGAGCAACCATCTTGCAATTCAAAGAATTTCAAGGAAGAAAGACCAAAGTCTGAAGTCATAAAAATGAAATCTTTCTTAATGGTATATGAATGCCTCACTGCACAGAAACGAAAATGCTAAAAAGTGAAACCTAAAGTTTATTCTAAGGGGGAGGGTATAGCTCAAGTGGTATATAGCACATGCTTAGCATGCACGAGGTCCTGGGTTCAATCCCCAGTACCCCCACTGAAAAAAACAAACAAATAAATAAACCTAATTACCTCCCCACCCAAAAGAAGTTTATTCTACACATCATAAGCATTTATTTATTAGCTATTTCTCATCTTCTTAAGCAAAGACAACACTGTGCATCATGTGTCCCTGTGGCCTACGGCAGCTGTGCTGTCATGCAATGTGGCTCCCCATGCCTGCCTGCACCCACCAACACCCCAACCTCTAGAAGCCGTGTCAACACCAGGCAAGAGCCCAAGAGGCTCTGGGTAAGACTGGCAGTGCTGTGGTTCCACGGTCAGGAGACCTCCAGTTTCTGTCACTAACTGAAAGTGTGACCTTGAGCAAGACCAACTCTCTAGCTTGCCTCCTTTTATTCAAAGGCTTAACTGAGTATCTCAGCTCAGAAGGTCTTGTGAAGATAAAATGCAAAGCATAAATGGCTTTAGAAAAAAGGATTCAACTCAGTGAAAACACAAAATACTGCCTTTATCAAAATGAGTCAGAGATAAAGAGGGAATTTTGTCCCAATTAGACGGTCATTCCATTTGAACTACTTAATGTCCAATTATTCCAATAATTAACTTTAATGACTTTAACTGACCCAGAAATGCCCAGTCAAGGCACACCGTACTTCTCACCTGCGGGCCCTATGTTTCCCATTCCAATGCCTTTATTCAAATGATTGGCATCAATAGGCTGCCCTCCTGGTCCTAACCCCATGCCAATACCACCAAGTCCATCTGAAAGGAAAAGAGAAAGTCAACAGTATAGATTCCACTTACTTAGGAAACCATGACCCTCAAAGGCAAAAAGAGTCTGTTTTACTGTGCTGTGGCTGTCACACCTATTCCTCACCAGCAAACAAACCCAGGGCCTAAACCACAATTCAACACTGGTACATTTGGGAGCACTCCTTAAGGCATGACAATACAGATTACAGTTTGTGAAATATCTAAAACAAGCACAGCTAAAGCTCAGTTCATGTGAAAACTACAGAGAAGAACTATGAACAACCTTCACAATAGAATGTGAACACCTATGTTTCCCTAAATTGTGAACTGAGAAAAGTTTAATCAAAAAAAGCAACTGAAGACATCAAGTGGCAAGCAGCACAAATATGCACAATCCCCACCTCCCAACCTGGTAACCCAGAGGACTTTTCTCACAAAAAAACAAGATTATAAACCAGCCAACTAACACACTGGGGCGCACACTAGTCTCTGACTCTACTGAAGGCAGTTTTAGTAACAATGAAGCTAGTGTATTCAAAGAACTTATCTTCTACTCAGAAAGCTTCCTAACCCGTGGATCATATCCAACCCACCCTCAACTCCACGCTCCACTAACAGGAGAGCAAGAATACAGCCTGGTCTCGAAACAGCCAAGGCCTGATAGCTTAACAAACTTGTAATGCTCTGGGTGACCATGAGTCTGAGATTTAAAGCAAGACCAGGTTTTTTAAATGGGAACAAAACGTTAAAAAAACCTGACACCAGTTCTCAAATATTTAATCTGATTAAAATCCTTGTTCTTAAATTGCACAGAAACAGCAGCAAGCGAACACCAAGGTTACCTACTCCCCAAAGCATTAAAGGCTTTGAAGTCAACCCACTGAAATGTGCTGGGGAGACCAAAAGTCACAGATAATGGGCTCCCTGGAGCCCAGTGCTAGCCAGCCAAGGCTGCCAAGCAGCCCTCACCTCTTCCCACTCTAAACACAAAGTCAACAAGGGCAACCACCCTGATTCTGGGCAATCACTGCAAGTGATCACACTGATTATGACAAGGAAATGTGGTCCTTCTCGTAACTGTTAACTTTCAACAGATAAGCCATCTCCAACTCTGGAAGCCACCTACCTTCCCTCAAAAGCTGTCTCTACTATACTTCTGTAACACTAAATTGCCAAGGCACTAGTGTTAGCCTTCTAGTCTAGGCTCTCATTCAATTCAATCTCTGACGACTGAGCCCCAGGCTCCAGTCACTGCTCCAGACAGGAGACACTGGCTGGCCCTCCTAACAGCCCCGCCCCAATGGCCTCATCAGGAGGTAAGTCCTCCCTAGCACAGCACAAGCAGCACTCCCATCTTCCTTCTGTAGGTCAGCTCTGCCTGCACTGCTGATTTTCCAACCCTCATGTTGCAACAGGCCCTCACTCCCACTGCTGTCTGCACTCAGGCTTAGCTGCCCTCTGCAGGCCTGCCAGATCGAGTGCCCAGTACTTCACTAATACGTGCCACTTCCATCTATGTGCTAACCGATCAACTAGCCTCCCCTGTCACAGTATAGATTTTCACCTGGATACTGCAAAAAACCCTATATAAAAATTCTGATCACTGTACCTCATATACCATAAATTCACCCATTTAAAGTGTACATACAGTTCAATGATTTTTAGTACATTCAGAGTCATACAACCATTATCACTATCTAGTTTCAGAACATTTTCATCACTGCAAAAAGAAATCCCATCCCTATAAGCAGTCACTCTGCACTTACCCCTCTCTCCAGCCCCTGGCAACCACCAATCTATTTTCTGTCTATAGATTCGCCTATTCTAGACATGTCCTATAGATGGAATCAAGGTTTATCCATGCAGTAGCATGTATCAGTACTTCATTCCTTTTTATGGCTGAATAATATTCCATTGTATGGATTAACCACATTTTATTTACCTATTCATCAGCTGAAATCATACTGCCATGAACACTGTGTAAAAGTTTCTGTGTGGATTAAGTTTTTAGCTCTCTTATATACCTAGGAGTGGAACCGCTGAGCCATGTGGTAATAATCGATCTCTTTTGAACCCAAGTGCAGCCTGCCTTTAATTCCCTTCAGTTTCTGCTTCTTCCTTCCCTGCACTTTGAAAAATGCCCAAATACATCCTCTACGTCCTGGGCAGCCTGCCTCACCACACGGTAATGCTAACAATCCTTCCTAAGTTGTAAATCTCTGCTTATTTTTCACAAAGAAAAATCTATAGAAAAAAAAGAAGAAAAAATCTTTTGAATGTTTTACTCAAGAATAGTCAAGGTAAGTGCAGAATGACATGGCACAAGTTCAAAGGTAATTGTAGTTTTCTGGTTAATATAAATCAAATTCAGAATCTCAGCTATAATAATTGAGATACTTACGGGGAAGTTGCTGTGGACGCTCAGGAGGGAAAAAATCTCCTTTTGGTAAGGCCCTCTCATCCTGAAAGAGAAAGTAAATAAATCTGTCTTCCCTGCAGCACTGTTAACAACAGCAAAAGATGGAAACAATTCTCATCAACAGAGGACTGCTTAGATAAATTATGATACACCCATGCCACGGAATAACATCCAAGTATAAAAAGAAATATGGGAGAGTTGCTACCTTTCGTGTAAAGCGGGAAAGATAAAAGACCTGAGCACAAAGTAAAAGCAAGACTCTCACACTCAATTTTTCATGCTTTTTGATTTTCGAATCACGTGAATCAAGTATCTATTCAAAAAACTAAACTGAATGTTTAAAGAAACTAAAGAATTCCTTTATAGTTCTATTTTTTTTCCTGATTTTGAGTCCTAACTTGATTGCCCTCAGCATGTTCCAGTCATGCTTGTATTCACTATTATCTCAGGAACAGTCACAGCAGGCCTAATGTTTACACTGAAGTGCCTCAACAGAACTTTAAAGGCTTTCTGGGGTGGGAGGGTAGTGCATGCTTAGCATAAGGTCCTAGATTCAACCCCCAGTACCTCCTCTAAAAATAAATAAATAAACCTATCTCCCTCCTAAAAAAATTTAAAAAGGCTTTCTGAATCAGACTTAATTACATTCACAACAGATACGATGCTAACTAAACATACTGTAATACTTTGAAAATTGGAAACCTATGTATATAATTACTCTCTGAAACTGATCACTTGCTCAACCAGGCTATTCAAGTTACCTCCTGACTATGTCAATAACAGATCTCCTGAACACACCAACAACTGTGCAAAGGAAAAAATATCTAAAGAGCTGCATAAGCAAAAACTTATTTCTGTCAAATTTGCTCAACATACTGCACTCTTTAACTTGAACTGATCCACAAATACAGTATAGTGGCTATGTATACACTCTTAATAACTCCATGTTTTTGTTAGACTTAAGTATGTTATAAAGAGATCCTATTAACTTACCATTTTCACATGCATTGGTCTGTCAAATAGCAGTTGCCCATTAAACATAGCTGGTATTAGAATTAAGGCAATTTTTTGCAATTCTAAAAACACACACAGCAGGAAATACCTAAGAAATCCAACTGCTACCACAGTCCCTCCAAGTGCTGAATGTGAGTAATTTTTGATTCTTCTTTATATTTTCAAGTGTTTATTTCTACAGTTTAAACATAAAAGGAACAATAATGTTCAAAGGGGGAAAGAAGAAGTAAACCTCAGCTTACTCCTTAAGTGTGGAGCTTCTTCATTCATTAAAGCTTACGCCTCTCACCAAACCATGTTCCTCTAAAAGCACTGACATCAGTTTTTTCTATGTGTCCAATAAGCCAGGTATTCCATCATTTTTTGAAATGCCATGTTTTCTGGGAAAGATACTCAGTGACAATCTTGTCTGAGTTTAGTGACAATGTTTATGAGTGGTATTCCCAATGTAACTACAAAGATGTAACTTGAGGATCAAACAGAAATGCTTCTTCCAGATTACCAATCCACTGGAGAGATAAGGCACTGTAAGGACTTACATTTAAAAAACAACTAAATTTCTCTCCAGCGGCACATTTTTTGGACTTCCCCCTTCAAACTAGACTCCTCTAAAAAGTTAACACTGGAAAAGATCACTCATGGACACGTGCCTGTTTTCTAATCATCCCTCTATCTATATAGTATTTTATTCCCTTAGTTAAGTTTCACAGTAATGCATCCTCTCCAGTCACACAGGAACTACCAAACTACTAGTACACAAAATAACCACTTCCCCCCAACAAACCTGTATTACTGATACAATATTTAGATCAAACTAAATTCACCAGAGTTGAATTCCCACAAAAGGATACATATAGCTTGTACAGCTTCAATGGACTGTTCAAAAGTAACAGTGCCTATTCCACGACTTTTTCCATCTTTATCCTCAAGAATGTCTGCTCGGACCACCACACCAGCCATACTAAAAACTTCCTTCAGTTTCTTCCAGCCAACTTTATAATCCAGCTAATTAAGAGAAAGCGGAGGAAAATCTCATTGTAGGTATCTTATGAAAAACATTTTTACCACATTAATATGACATGATCTGATTGGAAAACAAGCACTAGAAAATAGTATGTCACCAAAATACATTGAGTGCAGCATAATTTTTCAAATAGGAATATGAAATCTGGCCTTAAGTACTATTTACTGTCTCTTCTCTGAAAGAACAATTTACATCACCTCAGACTTCTCAAATTTATGCTTATTTCATAAACACTAAAATTTCATTCCCCAGCTAAGATTTACCATTATCCTTCCCAACCCACCTTCTTTTAAAAACTATTTCCCTTTGCGAATGACAAAGGTATTACTGCCATTCACCCAAACACAATGAAAAGAAGGTAATGACAGTATACAGTTCTCTGCTCACACACTTTACCCTGCACCTACTTTTGTAAACACCAGTAAACATGGCCCCAGTAAGACCATAATCAAGCCTGTGACTCAGGACTGCAGTGCTCATTAGGGGACAAAGCTCAACCCCAAGGCTGAATTTTTTTTAAACAGATCAAGAAGATAACATAACCCTCTTCTAAGTTTTTCTTCTCAAATGTCAGAACTACTTTAACACATTGAAAAGATCACCTAAAGAAGAAAATCAAACTTTATGAAACAAAGTTTCCATTTACTTACATTTGCTACAAATACTGTGCTTCCAAGTCTTCCAGCCTGTAATGCATGGATAATCTCATTTGGGATGTTAGGATTATTTAGGATACTGGGTGGGATATTAATCATTCCTGGGCCACCTGGTCCCATACCCATCCCACCAGTCGTAGCCATCACCTTTTGCATTGCTCTCCTGGCATGTTCACCATCAGGATCCTAAAATAAGCACAGAAGGATTATATTTAACTGACCCAGTGACAAATAAAACCATGCCTGCACAGCAAGTGATATTCCCAAAACTTCAGAGATTGAGAGGCTGTTTGGAAAGCATTTCTCAAAATCTGTAACAAGAAATTCAAATGAACTAAACCACCAGGCAGGAACAATTCCAGTAAAAGAACAACAAATAAAGGGTATAAAATTTAGCCCTCAGCTGAACTAAGTAAAAAACAAACAAAAAAGATGGGTCAGCAGGTGACATGATTCATTGACATAATATAGAACTTCCAGATTGAAATAACATCTTCAGAGGCTTGGTATAGTTGAATCTTACTAATTCAATGAGGTTTTACAACTTCTGCAAACCATATCAGTGATTTTCCCAAAAGTATGAAAACACAGCTCTAGACCACCAAGGTACTGTAGCCTTCAAGTATTCGGGCATTTGACTCGTGTAAAGTCTGGAAAGGTCTGTGATCTCTGGTATTGACATTATTCTTGAACTCTGCCATTCTGCATGTCACCTTCAACATACAAGAGACCTTAAGCCCTATCACACTTTCCTCTCTGAGCTCTGCCTACACTGACCTACCTCCAAGAAGAAGTAATAAGACAAGGATTGAACTTAAAAACCTCCCTCTTCCCTCAAGGGAGAAAAGATATCAGACTTGGATTCAATAAGAGGATTTAAACTCACTTTAAAACAGAAAACACATGGGCTAAGAATAGGGTTCAGACTGAGTAAAACTGCAGATGTAGAATATTTAAAAAAAAAAAAAAGGAGTGGGGGGTGCTCAGTTGGAATGCCCCTGAGAAAACCACAGCAGGCTGGCCTACGACAAATCACAGATTCAGGAAGACAGTCAGCAGTGGCTCAGGATGTGCTCATCCACCATCCCGAAGGACTCACAGGAATAATGACCCTCTTTGTTAATGACCAGATTGTTCTGCTCCACAAAATGTCATCAAGGACTATTTCCATCTTTCCCTAATTCCAAACAGGGACAACTCGACAATTACAAATGGTATCCACAGTGTTTCATGAGCTTACTTCTTTGACTTTCAGTGGTCTTCCACTCAGACTATGCTTGTTTAGAACTTCAGCAGCTTTTTTCATGCTCTCTTCCATCTTGAATTCAACAACACTATGAAGAGTCAAAAGGAAATGAGTGAAACCAGTCCTACAACTCAAAAGGCTCAATTGCCAATAAGTAACTAGACAATACTTACGCACATCCCTTTGGAAGAAGCCACAGACCAGTCAGAAGAGCAAGGAAATGGGGGGAAAAAAGAAAAGAAGAAAATAGTGAATTTCGATGGCAGTTATAAATTAAAAATATGATTTATGTAACAGTATTTAAATTAACCCTTCTAAGGGGAAGCTGACAGAAGTGTCTTGCCTAGCCGTCCTCATTAAAAGCTCAGCTCCTTATTATCTCCTTTTCCTTCACATTACCAGCATTGCACTATAGCTGAAGTTATAATGAGCAGACCTAAATTCAGGTTCTCCAAGAAATCACACAAACTTTAGATCTGCTTCCCTCTGTACTCAATCAATTCCTTATCATACTCCTCCTAAATCCATCCCTTCCATAAATTAACCTCATCCTTTTGATTATTCTAAGCCATCTATTGCACGACAGAAAATAGTTAATTTTCTCTTTAAACTAGGCCAATTTTAAACGTTCAAGTTTTAGTATTTGTTTTACAATTTACTGGCACAAAGGCAACTTTTCAGAATCTTTGGTTCACACAACTTTCAAATTCAGCAAACAACCAAAAGTAACATTTTCTAGACAAGAACACACGTTTTACATTAATATACCACCGCTAAAATTCCATGCATAATTCACACACAGCCAATTCCTCTGTTAACAAAGAGACAATGCTGCTATTGGTCCCCAGTAATCCAAATTGGGCATCCAAACAGAATACCAAAAAGCTCTTTGGGCAGCCATTTGGAAAAGCGGGACTCCTGTTTGCAAATCCCCTCCCACCCAACTCGAATGTTTGGCAAAGTCAAACATAGCTACTATAACATGAGCACTCACTGCCTTCCTGATTTCATTCGATTCCACGCCACCATACAATTACATTTTTCATGTAGTAAATCCACAGAAGAAATTCTCTCAGACACTTACCCTTGACTTTCCTTCAGCGTCCATTAAGAGCTCCACGTATGTTACCTCACCAACTACAAATCAGTTTCCAGACGACACATAAACCAAGGGAGAAAAGCCAAGAAAACAATGGGAATTTAGAACAATCATCAGCAACCTTGTATGGAGCCTCTGCCTTATAAGAAAGCCCAGAAACACTCCATATTCTCTAAACCACCAAACTAGGCATTACAGGTGTGCAGTAAAAGTAGGTGAAACTCGTTAACAATATGTCCTTGATTTTTCCTCCCGCCGCAAACAAGCTATTTCCACAGATTTCCATATCAATTTCCCTGTCTGAAATACTCATTCATGACTAGAGGCAATCCAAATCTACAGGAAAGTCTGCGTTATTCACTTTTTTGGGGAAGGGAGGAAAACAGTTTTACACATACAGTCTTACCACTGAAAGCAGGTAAACAGCACACAAATTGCAACGCCACTGAACTGAGCTCAAGTGCTAAATACAAAGCTGTGTATATGTATATGCTCAAAGGCGCGCGCACACACAGCATGGCCAGCTACATGGGTGTGCAACCCATCCAATCGCATGGGGCCCTGCACTGACAGTCATGCACTTGGTTTAATGCTCTGTCGCTCTCTTGAAATTCTTAGTAATTTTTAAATAAGGGGCCCCATGTTTTCATCTTGCACTGTGCCCCCACAAATTCTGTAGCTGGTCTTGCACACAGAGCTAGGCTCACAATTGTCAGAAGTAGGATGTTTGAATATCCAATCACAAAACCAGAGCAGCATCTGGATTCTCTTCAGTGAATTAAGTCAGGCTTTATTTTTGCTGCTCTCTCAGCCTCCCCATTAAAGGACAAAGATAAATGCAAATTTCGAGCTCAGTTTGCATCTTAACAGCTAAACAGACTCACAAGATTCTAATCTACACAAAGGGGAAAAAAAAAAAGCATTTCAAAAGATTCCACAGATTTTCCTTAAGGTTTGGATTGCCAATTCATGACCACCATGACCAGATGTTAGAACCCATCAAGACAACCACCAAAATGGCTGCTGAACTTGAAGATGGCAAACACACACACACCTAAAAAACCCAGAAATTTAAAAGTGTTAGCTTGGAGAAAACAGTATCTAAGCAGACTCTCCAAAGTCAAGAAAGGGCTTTTGTTCTAAGAAATACCTCAAAAAAAGGAAAAAAAAAATTTTTATGATTGTAAAGCCTTCTATTCAGTTTTCAATTTGGTTTAGCAGTAGAAGGGTAAAAATAACCCTCTTAATGGCCTCCAATCCTGCCTAGTCTAACTCCTCTGTTCAAAAGGTATTAAAATTATGCTGAGGATTTTAAAATTAACATACCAAGGAGAGAATGAAATGTAAAATAAGTTTTTTTATAATTTGAAGGGTTTATTTATTAGTAATATATTTGCACAGCAAGAAGGCCAAGTGTTCAAAGTTTAAGTCTATAGCCTCACCTTCCTCATCCTTTCCTGAAATATTACAGCACCAAACCAGCACTTTGCACAAAACAGAAAGGAGAAAGAATCAAGTGCAAAGAAATGAAGAAAGGAAATAGGAGGCACTCATATACTTTAACTTTTGGAGTATGAACAACTGAAAAACGACCACAGCCGAGGGACAGTCACACAAAGCCTTGTACATCCTTACAAAAGGAAAGCAATTCCCAAAAAGTTGTGGTCATCCCCGAGGCCACGTTAAAAGCCATTTATTTCAACAGCAGCAGCCATTTGAGGATCAAGAGCCCTGGTCTCCAAGTTGAAGAAAATGCCAAATAGTGTCAACAAAGTGAAAAGACTCCAGGTTTATTTCCTGTGAGCTGTGACTACCACCTGATAACATTAAAAATAAGTAAGAGTCACAATATCTAACTCGGACAGCTGTAACTATATTGTCAGATTTCAAATACTGTTGCATTTGAGAAGTTTCCAGTTTGTGCCCATAAAGACACAGATTATCAAAAAGCTGTCACTGCAACCTAGAAACCAAGCAAGTCCAAACCAAACTTTTCTTCTTTTCCATGTTCATAATCATTTTAACAAAAAGCAAGGTTTAGAAATTAGGACTTATTTCACATTAAAAAAAAGCACCTCCTTCCTATCAGTTAAGCCACAAATTAGGCAGGCATTGTGGCTCCACCATGAGTAGTGCTGGCCCTTATCTATTATCAATAACAACCATGCTCCTCATACATTTCTCATCTCTACCCTGAGAGACCGCATCAATTCCGAAATGTAAGCAAATCACTGTTACAGGATCCGCAACAGTTGCCAATCCCTACTTCCCTACAGGCAGATTAATAGTAATAAACCTTTAAACGACCATTTCTCTTTTAGTTCTACATTATTAAAGCAAAGACTTGTTTAGTATAGTCAGTACAACTATCAATAAAACTTTGAAGGCAAAATTTGCCAACTATGCACAGTCTGGTCACATTCAGTGAAATAGTTTAAAAGAGCAAATCACCTGAGTAGATCAATCAGGACTGAGAGGCCGTTAATAATTGGCAACAGTGATAGTCTCCCAGACATGGAATTTGCAGGTATTAATGAAAAATAATGCTGCACCCCTCCCTTCCTGAACATGGATGGAATCCATGGAATCTCAAGAGTAGGCTGCTAAGACAAATTCTACTGCAGCTTCAAACAGCAAAATATCTAAATAAAAAAAGACTTTGAAAAATCTAACACCAAATGTTATCACCTACCTTTATTTTAAAATGCTCCAAGAGATCATTATTAACTAACATTTTAGGTGGATTATTAAAAATGTTATTTCAAGAATAAAACACATCATGAGTATAAGATGATGAGCAACCCAAAAAGAATTCAGGTAGTCCCTTGCAACTGCTAACTGAACACTCCTGCACATACGTATATCACAAGGAGTATTTATTTCTGTGTTGTCATTTACTGCTCCAGTCTGAAATGAACTACAAGAAAATAAAGTACAGGAGCCAATGCTTCACTGTAGAGAATTCATATTTGAAAAGGCCTATAATTTAAAATTGGGAGGGGGGCACTCAAAAGCAGGGTATGTTATCAAACATTTTCACTTCCTAAGAGTCAATTCTCAGGTAGCCACTTTAAATGGAGGGGTGCATAGAATATGCATACTTTAATTTCGAAAGTTTCTTTAATATATGGATGACTTGAAATACCACAAAATATGAAGAAGTTAGAAAATTATTAAGCACTTCCTTGCTCCTAATTCTATGACAACAGCGAAAGAACAATCCCTCCCTAACTCAGCCAAAAACCAACAAGCCAGGCAGGCTGTGCTGTTAAGGTTCAACCCAGGTACCCACAGGTATGAATGCTTTAGCATTAACAGGCCTTTCCAAAATGCAGGCTGGATATCCAACAAAGGATAATATGAAGGAACCCAAACAGACTGGGTAGAGTTTTACTTAAACTGAAATAGTTCTGTTCGACAGGCTAACAATACAGATTATCTCCAAGAGCCAATGCAGACTTTCTACTGGACTATACTTGCCCTCTGGGCCTCAGTTTTCTGTCAGGTGTAATTAGAAATCTACTTAAAGTGATGCATTCAATAAAAACAAAAGGATTAAGTGCTTAAGAAATCTTTGCTTACACAAGTTAACTGACTGCTGCTAACTAAACTTGGGATTGACTGAGCATAAACTACAGCACTGATTTCCTTTCTTCCTCAAACTGTGCTCCATGTTTACTCACTGCTCCTGCAGCTCAGTCCTACCTTGGCTGCAGCTGCCCCACCTTGATGCTGCTGGCTCCCTGGTTAGGCCAGGAGAACAAACAGCCCAATGATGAGCTTTCTTCATCCACGAAGGACTTCTCGGTAACGTGACACAACACTATTTAAGTTTAGAAGTCCCAAGATCACACCTTTTGCTCAAAGAAGTCTTAATTTTTCATCTAGACCTCATGGTCAAACGCTCTGAGATGTGTATCTCAGTATCTGTTCAAGTGATGAATCAGGTAGCTGTGAGATTGTAAATCACTTTCTAACTTGGTTTGGCAATCTCCAATTCAAATTTCCTATCATACTGGCTCCCATTTTTTTCCCCCAAATCTGGCAACTCTTCAGTGTTCACATCAGTCATTTGTTTCATGTAATAGCTCCGTTAAAAATAAGCATGGTCAAAAGGAAGGACAATAGAAATCTTTCCTTTATTCCATCATGGCACTTGGCAGGAAGCTGAAAGCTCAGGGAAAGAAAACTCAATTCTATGGGCTGTTTAATCCATGTCCCTAAATAATTTGATGGGGGTTGTGGGGAGCAACCTGACTAAAAACAAAACAAAGCTCTCAGTACCTTTTCTTTTTAAAATCAGCAATGCTGATTTCCTGACAGTGCCACCAAACAAGTTTTGTGATCCCATCCAGGGGAAAAGGCGTAAGTGGGCCTGTTCATATCAATATATGCATTATTATTAGGATCTCCTAGAACGCAGTTAAAATCAAAGCTGGAGAATATTTACACTTGGTGTTCAAGGAGGGGGAAAAGATCAGGAATTACAGAGGCCATCTCAGGTATGACTGTCCTTAGAAAAAAGCTCTTGTCTTGCCATCTCAAAGCTACTACTTGAGGTCTGAGAGGCAGTAATTATAGGCAGTGCTGCAATGACAGAGCATTTTTCAGATCTTTAAGCCAAGGACAACTAATTCTAGCTCTTGTTCCACTAGTTTCCTGAAACAGCAGGAAATGATTTCATCAGGGATAGACTCTTAAAATGCAAACTGATATAGAGCAGTTGGCTTATGATAGCCCAAATCTCTGTGGTTTGCCCACTTGAGAGATTATTTTGAGACTAGTACTTTTAGAGTGTAAGTGCCTCTACCTGCAACTTTTTTTTTCCTGTGCAATAACAAGTCTTCAAAAACCTTAAAACTTATTTGCAAGATTTCAAGTAAATATTTCAGATAACAAATAACCATTTAAACATATTTTTGGTATACCAAGCCACAAATTAAATGTTTTTAAAAACCTCATAATGAAAATAAGAACATTTTAAAGAAAGCATACGTATGTAAACAAATTTCTTTAGACTTCGCATACTGAACATAAGCATTACCATAAAACGATTACCTTTCTCTTATGAATCCTTTTATCCACAATCCAATACTGCTAATAATTTAATTAAAAAGAAAAGTAATTTAACCTGTACAGGGGAGCTCTAAACAAGAACATCTTACGGTTTGTTAAAAATAACAGATTTACTGCACACCTGTAATTCTAAATTACACCACCAAAAATACACTGAAAGGGCTGAGCCAGGGCATTCATAGCAGTATGCCAGGGGAATATGAGAACCAGTTTGGAAGTATCCAAATAAACCACCAGGCTGGCTCCACACTTAATACAGTGCAAAGTAGGAAATTGAGGTGAACTGCTTCTACATCCAGAACCGTCATGGCTGCTGCTACCAGCTTTAAGGCTTCCAAAACTGAATTACTGAATGGTAAAGCAGTAAAAATGTCACCTACTTTATCCATCATGCCCCAAAACTGGTTCACACACTCCTAAAAATGAAAAAATAATTTGGCCTGCAATCTCTTACAAAATTCTAACAATTGCATTTTCAAAGCCACATTCCTGGTTCTTGGAACTACTATACCTTATTATCAATGGAAGTATCAATTCAGCGGTTCAACTAAATCACGAGAACACAAATTTGGGGGTTATTCCAAAAACTAATTCGAATGAGACCCAACTGGACTGTACAGAAATTCTAAGCTTTATTGAAGCAGCAGTCCCAAAAACCAAGAACACTGCATCTGGGATGCCACATGACACGCCCTTCAGACAAAAAGAAGAAACTTCACTCTTGCCCTAGGAGCATTGGCAGGAATGATTTGGCTGATCAAGGCAGGAAAACAAATCTCACACCAAAACGTTTTTCCATCCATTTTATCTGGAGAATTACTGCATGGGAGCGGCCTACATGACTGTACAGAGAGGTTCACGGTGCCTAGTGCTTCCGGCATGGCATGGCAGTATTAAGTGATGGGACAATGATGGCAGTGGGCCACTTATTATTTCAAACCCCAATGCTGAGAATACCAATACACATACCAAAATGGCCTATCCAAGTGACATCTGTCACTGAAATGTCAATCATTTGACAAATGAAGCTCGAACCTCTTTTCGTTATGAATGCTCCAGAAAACCAATACCTTTCAGTCCTTCAAAAAGACTCCATTTAAGGATAATTTGATTCTAGGTTTCCCTTTGGGGCAGGATTGAGGGAAGACCTCAAAGCATTAGACAAAGTGTCCTCTCTATCAATAGTTTTGTCTAAACCAGGGCTGAGCAATCTCTTTAGCCCTCAGTGCCACCAGCAGGGCCAAGAATCAGAAAAGAAAGGAAGACAAAAGAAGCAGAACAAGAGTATGGAAAGAAGACATATGTGGTGTGTACAGGAGAGTGAGGAAGAGGACCCATGGGGGCAACCAATCTCCTAGGACCTCCTGGTGGCAGCAGAGCTTCAGTTGCTTCCTCTGCCCTAGGCCAGAAATCAGACACCTAGCCTGAGACTGATGTGCACCTGAAGGCACTGAACTACAGAGCAGATGCCTTTTTTGAGCTATCCAATTGCCAATCTACTGTTTCTCCCCAAGGTGAGGGATGGGGAAGCCTAACAGTTTAAATACAAGAAAAGGCTTTATAATTTAGAATCTGAACAGCACTTTGCAGCTACCAAATTTTGATCCCAGGAAGACATTCACAATTTAAACTACCTTCCCGCCAGAATTTTTTTTTTAAAAAAAAGGAAAAACTTCTCCCACCTAATATGAAGAATTCAAAAATTTCCTTAACACCAAGAGGATCCCCTCAAGGTTAATCGAAGCCCTATTCGCCATGTTAAGCCAGTAAAATCATTCGTAGACCAAGGGACCATACAAACCACCCTATTTGACACACAAGTGCATGATCACCAAAAAAAAAAAAAAAAAAAAAAAAAAGGTGGGGAAGGGGTGGGCACTTAACTCTCAAGCCTGGAGAGAACACATGCTCTACCCAGAACAGCTTCCACAGACAAAAAATAACCAAGGAATTCGCCACAGAGAAGATGACACACCAACCTTCTGACCCTGCTCAACCACTAGTACCATTACCTTTTTCTTTAACCAGGTCTTTAAGTGACTGCCATTTCACATCAAAAGGTATGTTTGTAATGAAGGCTCTGTATCTTTTAGTTGGATTGGCATATGGCTCAAAGCGATTGCCTCCTCTTTTTATGTTTTTCTCCTTCCTCTTCTCATTCTGAGCAGGTCGTTCTCCTTCACTGAATTCAAAAGAAAGAGAGAAAAAATGTCCATGTTAGCACAGTCTCAAAGACAGTATTTGATCTGCCAGGTTTACAATCCTACAAAGTTCCATACAACACAAGACTAATACTGATTTTGATTTGAGACACTCAAATTAATGTGGTCCATAGAGCAGAAAATTGCAGCAGTGCACTCCTTAATACTCAACTATCAAAAAAAACCACTCTCAAGACAAGTGCGCTCTCCTAGGCCTTCGCACACTTCTGTGGGGCTGCAACAGAGGTGGGAGAGACCAACTCCCGGCCCAAGGTGCTTTCTAAGACAGAAACAGGAAAAAAGAAGGGAAGATTTACAAGATTTCATGGAACAGAAATGAGGTGGTTCACATAGGTCCAATGAATTATAGCTTTACAAATAAAAGTGTTTTTTGTGGTGGGGGCAAAAAAAAGTTTTAAGTGGGAATGTAAAATAGTGCAGGTGCTATAGAAAACAGTTTGGGAACTGTCCAAAAAGTTAAAAACATTTAGTTACCATAGGACCCAGCATTTCCACTCTTAGAGTACAGAACTGAAAAGGAGGACTCAGGTACTGGTACATCATTAGCAGCATTATTCACAATAACAGAAGGTGAAAACATTCCACGTATCCACCAACAGATGAATGGGATAAATAAAATGTGATAGATCCATAAAATGGGTTACAGCCATAAAGAGGAATGAAGTGCTGATACATGCTGCAACACAGATGAACTTTGAAAACATTATGCTAAGTGAAATAAGCCAAACAGAGAAAAAAAAGAAGTTACCAGGGACTAGGGAGAGGTAGGAATGGGGCGTCACTATTTTAATGGCTACAGAGTTTGGGATGATAAAAAAAGTTCTGCAAATGAAGAGCAGCTACTGGTATAGTCTACAACATTGTACCAACTGACACGAAACTGTACACTTAAAATAATTAAGATGGCAAACTTTACATATATTTTACCACAATTAAAAAAGATTTTTAAGGGAAAGAAACCATTCTCTACTCAACCCTCTTACTTTGAGGCTAGGAAACCCCACATCTAAGCAACCTGGTAGAAGAAAGACAGCACGCAAACAATTTCACCGTTGGCAAAGGTTGGATGCTTTTTTGGCATGGTGCTTCCTGGAATACTCTTTTACCTTTGTGTGTTAGGTGCTTCCACACAGTAACACTTCATTTCTAAGCTCTACATGTTCACATCTGGTTTAAAGTGGGACATGAAAAAAGCTTCACATGAAATGCAGACTTTCAAAGCACAGAACCACACATCAAAACAGGAACAACAGGCGACTGTGCCCGCAGCCAGGGCAAGGCCCTGTGCTGGCTGAGTAAAGCTGTTCCCTGAGCCACCTACTCAAGCTCAGCCCCCTTTGACCACAGGCAGACACCTGTGAGAGCTGACCAGGAACAACTGGGGAGCCAGGAGCCACAGGAAGTTCCTCTCAGGGCACTGAGTCCAGCACTTTCTGCTTCCTGAGTCCTCTGTTTTCTACCAGTGAGAATCCAGGGACTCCCAAACCACAGATTCTGATAGGGATTTTGTGATCCAGAGAAAAATGGAAAAAACAAAAAACCAAAAGCCAAGACTACCATGTTATTGATTTATAAAACCACTTCTTCTAAAATAAAGGGCTGATCGTTATTCTAGGTATGTCTTCCTCGTGTGGGGGAGGGGTAGCATTCAAACACCAATGGTAGCTGGGGGACTTTCTTTTCATGTACTTGGAAAAATTAAAATTAGCAGCTTTTTGTAGTCCCCAAAGTTTTTTCTCACCGGTCCCTCATATTCAAACACAAGCATGCCAAGTGGTAACCCAGTGAAGGTATCACCCTAGACAAAACTAAGGAAAGCAGCTTCTTCCAGGATCTGTACTATACCAACATGCAGCAGATAGGGGTGGGGGTGGGGGGGTGATAAACACACCAACTCCCAGATTCCTAGAACTTTTTACTCTGTCTACCCAGGTTCACAACAGATCCTCCTCATGCTGACTGCACACAAGCAGATCTCAAAGGGAACCCTCAACTGTTGAACAGTCTACCTGTCTATGCCATATGAAAGTCCTACACCAGTCTGCCAAACAGAGCATATACATTTGAGTCTCTTACTCTTGGAAGATGAGGAGGAAACGTATTAGCAACAATTCATAAAATGTAGATCTACATTTCATGGGCTTACAAAAGGCCTGTGACTAGGAATGGATTATCATGTAACTGGTTTCTTTTGAAACCCAAATACTGTACATGATTTACATTAAAAAAACATTATTCTGACACAGGGTCAATGACACAGTAATAGTTTCAGCCTGTGTTTTCACACTGCTTAGCTCTCTCATTAGTTACAAAATGTATAAATCACTAATTACAAGCCAAAGCAGGTAACAAAGTGTCTAGGCCATATTCTGCCATGCATTATTACTGCTAAGAATAAACTATCCAATCTAACCACAGAAGCTGGGGATTTGGTTTGGGGTTAATCCGTATCACATGAGAAAGCAGCTCATACGGGTTATGCCCAAGGTGTGAGCACAGCACTACTGCACCCAAATCCTTCCCTGGCTAATCATTTCCTGAGAGGTTTCCTCGTAAGTAAATGGGGTAAAAACTATCTCATCACTTACAGCTTCTTTAAAAAATGACCTTTTTTGTAAATCTAATGATCACTATCAACTCTATTCTTGACAGACTTGTAGAGAGCCACCCTCAAAGAAATCTCACAAGACACATATTCCAGTACAGATGATGTGATAGTTTAAGAAAAGCCCCCTTTTTTCATGTTCAATTCAATTCTCTCATTTATCTTCCAGGTAAAATTAGGAAAATATTCTTCTCTAGCCCTAAAATATATGTAACCCTTAACTGTGAATCTTTTAGAAATATTTTTATAGATAGATTATAATTTGGCTACATTGATAAAATAAACTGCCTTACCCTAAATACTTCTAATTTAGAGTATAGACACTAAAAACGTTAAACACACACCTACCATACATTATTCACAACTACTTACCCAAAAGAAAATTAAAGCATATATCCATGTAAAAATATACACGTGAATGTTCACAGCAACATTATCTGTAATATCCCCAAACTGGAAATCTAAATGTCTACTAATAGGTAAGTGAATAAACTGTAGTATATCCATACACTGCAAAACTGCTCAACAACAAATAATGAACCTATACACAATATGGATGAATCTCAAAACAACTGCACTCAAAGAAACCAGACCAAAAAAGGAGAACATACAGTATGATTTCATCAGATAAAACTCTAATTGAAATCTAATCTGGCAAACTAATCTATAACAGGTTTTCTTTTCTTAACCTCAACACTACTGGTATTTTGGGCCAGATAATCCTTTTGTCATGCGAGGCTA